CTCGAAGTTATTTTAGTGTTTTTAAATCCTCACAATAGGGATTAAGTCATCGCTTCAGCCCTTGGCTGTGGAGAAATTAGCTAAGTATAGCAATCATATTTAGCATCTTTGAAAATAAAAATAAAACAAACAAGAACTTCGAAAAGGAAAATAAAAACTTTTATAAAACTAGATGAAAGAAGAAGAAGAATTTTTGAATGTGTTTCTAGGCTTACCCTGATAGGGTATTTATAGCATTCAAAATCCTAAAAATAAGGAAAATATAGTTCCTAAAATAAAGAGATAATTCATAATGAAAATACTTAAACTACTTAAACTAAAATACTAAACAAATATAATATAAAATATAATATAATATTTAAACTAATATCCTAAAAACATGAGTTTAACTTAAATTCGAATTGCAGAAACGTGCGGCTGATCCATTCGTTCTTCTAGAAGCACTGAATGAACCTTCTTGAAAGTGTTGACTCATCACCTCGTCAGATACGTCTTGCCAGAGTCATGCCCACTAATCTAGCATTGATTATGAAAATAAAAAACTGCATAATTCTGTCCGAAAATGAATCAAAACAAATAAATCATCCATAAAAGATGAAAATTAAGGAGAAATTGAAAGTTAGAATAATAACTAAATAAAGTACCTATCAATTCCCAGTCCTCGGATATTCCAGCTTAGTAGTTTCATAGCTCTCGGATGGCATGAGGACTATCTACTTCAATCGAAACTATCACCACATCAGAACCCTATCACAAACCCTTATCAATAACATTAGACATAAGCATTTTCTTAACCCAAGACTTTGTCTGATGACCTGTACCCGAAATAGGTGAAGCCTCAGTGGTAGAACCAGCGATACGAGGTAAAGATGATCCAACCCCGACACCCTTTTCACGCAACCAAGAACTTGACATAGCCCCTTTCCTCCTTGGTGAGGCTCAAATTGAGGCATCCCATTGTGGGAGAATATTTTCTTTTTTTCTTGAATAACATGCAATAGACAATAATTCTCTTCATGTTCTACCTTGCTACACAAAAAGAAGAATAATCGAAGCTTTTCATACTGAAAGGTAGCATAAGCACAAACACCACTTTGCAAAGCTAGCTTTTTCTTTCTCTTCAACAACTTCCAAACATCAATACCAACTCTAACTTGAATATTTCCCCTATAATCCAACGAGATCGTAACAACATCATATTCAATAAAAGAGCCAAGAAAATTACCAAAATATTTGGCTACCTATTTTGATATTTGGTAGGTCATTTACGATAACAAAAAAGTCAACACGATTGAGATCCACTGCCATCTGGTCCTCCTCTTGTTACAATCAATGCATGATCAATAAATGGGAATTGAAATACCAAGGGCCCTCCGACACTATTTGATTTGTGTCCACCTCGTGATATAACTAGAATAGAAACCTGCTCTCCCCCAACTCTGTGGTGGAAATCCCCCTATAGGATGCCAAACATTTGCCAACGTAACCCTCATTGCCTGAGAATTTATCATATTTTAGTGAGGAATCACTCTACGAAACAATGATCAAAGGTAATCTGAGGTGACGTCTCTGTTCAAGCCAAAACCAAGACTACATCTTCTTCCTCCCAGAGACTCAAATCCTCCAAATCCAACTCAATTTCTGTAATGAAAACATAACAAAAGATCCGAGAGAACCTAACAAAAATCTAGCAAATCTAGAAGAAATGGGGATGGACTCAGATAACGTGCCTTAAAAGGTAGAAGGATGGTGTGCCAAGACAATAAAAAAACCTAATACAGAGGGTTGAGGCTTAGATAAAGATATATATCGTATATAGTTAGAAAGAATCATTTAAATTAAAACCAATTAATATCAAAATATTATAGTAATTACATTTAGACATAAACATAACTTAAAAATCTATATTTTGTATAGAATTATTTACCCATAAATATAATTGATACAAATCATTTAAATATGAATGGTCATGCAATATGTTAATATAAAAGACAAGAAGAAAAGTATGTTGCTAAAATCCTAAAATTTATAAGTCGTGAAGGTCTCTCTCTCATGTCATGCCGTTGACCCATGCATTGTTATGGATAGGATAAAAAAGAAGCAGCTTTTCTCTTACCCATCACGTTCTTTTCTGACACTTCCATATACTTTTATAAGATATTATTTGATTGGACTAGACTTTTTTTTAATATTTTTCATCAATTTCTTTACCTTTTAAAAAGTTAATTAAATATAAGTAATGGATTTTTATTAATATTTATCTGTTATATTTGATAAGTGTTTAATGTATTAGTAAGATCCATTATTGATTGTATCTCAATTGGTTGAATCGTAAATGTATTGATGTACTTTATATTTGTGATGTATTTTTTAAATAATTTGAGTAATTACAAAGTAATATTTATTCATAATATTTTTTATTATTAATAATGTACATATATTTTACAGAAACAAATGTTCGAACTTAAAACCTCAAGAGATGACAATATTTTCTTTAATCATGGAGGTCATTCAATGGATTTGATATATAAAATAGGGTAAATTACACGATTAGTATCTAAACTATCATTTTTGGCCTATTTTAGTACCTAAACTTTCAAAAAAAAATCAAAATCATACTTAACATTTAGTTTTAATTTCATTTTAGTATCCAGCCGTTAAAAACTTAACGAATAGGCTGATGTGGCATAGATCCGGTGGACGGACAACCAACATAGTCTAATTTCAGGCCTATTAGATGGTGGGCCATAGAGATCAGAGGATGAAGAAATCGAAGATTTCATCGTTGATTTGGGGAGATTGAGGCATTTTTTGGTGAAATGGAGACCGAAATCGTATTTAGGGGTTGAAAAGGTTCGAGCTGAAAAGTTTGGGCTTCATCGGCCGACAAATACGACAGTCGATGACTATAGACATGGCGACCGGCGAGCCTGTCCGTTAAGTTTTTAACGATAGGGTACTAAAATGAAACAAAAACTAAATGTTATGTATGATTTTGAAAAAAAATTAAGTACTAAAAATAGACCAAAACTAATAGTTTAGGTATTAAACATGTAATTTATCCCATAAAGTATTAAAAATAGAGAGTGGGAGAAAAAAAGTGTTGGAAGTTGAAGGAAAGAGAGAGAGAGAGAGAGAGAGAGAGAGAGAGAGAGAGAGGAGAGAGAGAGAGAGAGAGAGAGAGAGGAGAGGAGAGAGAGAGAGAGAAGAGAGAGAGAGAGAGAGAGAGAGAGAGAGAGAGAGAGAGGAGAGAGGGAGAGGGAGGGAGAGGGAGAGGGAGAGGGAGAGGGAGAGGGAGAGGGAGAGGGAGAGGGAGGGAGGGAGGGGAGGGGAGAGGGAGGGAGGGAGGGAGAGAGAGAGAGAGAGAGAGAGAGAGAGAGAGAGAGTAGTGAATGTAGGTTTAGTTGGGATTCCCCCATCCAATGAAGGGATGGGCTTTCCACTCTCCCATAACTCAAACTAAGCAACAATATAAAAAAACAAGATTTTATTATGGGCTTTTCTCTGCAATTGATAAATGCTCTTATCCACTATCTAAAATTAGGACTAAGTGCTCCTAAATTTTGGGAACTAATATCGAATTTTCATGCCCACTATAATTTCTATTTTCCTTGTAAATTCTTATTTCATCAACAAATATTATTTCATCCGTCCTATCAACATCAAATTACTTCTTTTAATTTGTTTCTCTAGTCTTTTAATTATTAAATTTATATTATCAATAATTAAAAAATATTATAAATAAATATTATATTTTAATCATTTCATAAGAAAAAGGAAATGATACATCTCCCGTGAAGTACATTAGTACATTTACGACTAACCAATTGAGAAATAATCAAAAAAAATTCAAAAACAATTCATTATTCTACAACTTTCCATTGTGTTATGGGAAGTATTTGTGAAATAAAAAAAATGATGAAGAAAAAAATTAAAACCCTAAACTCTCTAATATTTTTTTGGGTTGTTGTCCTTCATGTTTATAAGGTTTTATCATGACTAATCCAGATTGATTTGGGTCGCACATTTGGTTTTGGTGGGTGAGTCTCCCAATAATTTTTTTTTACATACACAATGACTTAAACTCGAGACACTATCATAAAAGATATCAAATTGTTTAATAATCAAATCAACCTCGTTGATGTCTAAGATTCTTTTTTAGCGTAAGTTGCACATTTTCAATCTTTTAAACCCCAAACACGTTGGATTGGCATGTTTATTTCAGGGGTTGTATTTAAAACACGTGGCATAACCACGTTGTTGGTAAGCAATTAGACCCAAAGCGAACCTTTTCTCTTTTTCTTTCTATCATGTTTCTCTGAATTACTTATGTTGTGTGAGAGTTTAATTTAAGATGTTTTCACTTAAAATGTTATTATATTGAACCTAAAAAGTTTCATTATAGGGATTTAAAATGTACAATTAAAAATGTTATAAAAACTGTAACATTTTTAGTTGCATCGAAAATATTACTCTATCTAATTTAAAAAGTTATACTCTTAATAAGATTTTTTTATTGTAATCGATTATTGTCGATTTTAGTCTTACGTTAACAAATTGTATTTTAGAACCACCCGTTTCTTTATCATCTGTTTGCAGTTGGACACTTTTTTCTCAAAATCATTATCATAAATATTATAACTTCTAAAATTTTAAAATAACGCAAATAAATTTTTAATAAAAATTACAATTAAATATTTAAATTTTTTAACGAATGATCGTCTCAACTCGCTCTCCCCCGATCCACTTTCACACCCAAAGTTACTTTTATTCAATATCCGGGAACATGCCAACTTCTCATGCCAGGTTCCATGTCAGACACTAGCACTGGATCAACTCTACTGTGTGAGAACGTACTAAAATCCAAATTTTCATAAATATAAAATTTATAAGATTTCTCGAATATAAACAATAATATAAATATAAAATATACTTAATGTCTAAACACACAAGAAAACATAAATTTTTCATTCAAAATCACAACAGTAAGTTACAGAAAGGATGACAAGTTACGTACCAAGCTTTCCCATATGTATATTTTACAAAAGAAATACCAAAATCTCAAAATAAATCTATCATCACACACCCAAATGTAAATAAAGAAGAAGAAATCAAGATGGTCATCAGCATGCAAATTAGGGTTGTTACATATCCCTAACTTCAAACTCATTTCGGTTTTTGACGACGATATCATACATGTGAATCGTCTTGAACTTGATGAAATCCTTAGGGAGAGAGATCAAATGCACGGTGGATCGTTTGTGGAACTGGAGGAGATCGAGATCATCGTAGTATCTTTCCCATCCTAGAGACCATAACTTTCGCTCGAGTTCTGCGTAGGAAGTGATCACTTCGTTGGAAGGAGTGTGTACAAGCACTTTTCTACGAGTGTTGGAACCCTGTCGGCTCCTGTCGAATGACTCAGTCCCCGGGTTGTCGACCAAGCGAACCACACCGTTCTTGAAAACCCAAACACCAGACATTTTTGTTGGCTAAGAAGAAAACTTGAAACTAATGGATGGAGAGAACAAGAAGACTTAGTAGCCTAAAGCAAAGCTCATGGAGATGGGTTGATGGGATTGTAGGGTATATATAGGGTGACTTGAGGGATGGAATAGGGATGTTTAGGCATAGTTAGGTAGTCCCAAAGTGGAAGGTGGGAAAGTAGGGTATGGATTTAAATTACGATTAATATATACTATCGTAATCAAATACAATAAACATTTATCGTTAAAACTAAATTATAAAATAACAATCATAATATCATATTACAGTCGAATAATGCGATCGAAGTTACTAGAGACACAAGTTGTATAATCAATGTGGGCATAAGAGGATTGAAAGGAATCATATTTCTTTATGGCATGTCTTTCAAATAAACCCCACAATGGGAATCTCTGTCATTGTTTTTGTAGAGAAACATAATTGGGATTGTGGGAGACTAGTTGATCTAGAGAAACCTAAACGAAAATGACTTTATATAAGTATATATATTACGTATTAAACAAGTGTGTAATAATATATAGGTGTATTTGTGGGCGTAATCATACACATGACTACGTATCATGGAGTTAAATGCTATCGTTATTCGATTTGGAATCAAATATCCATATGCCACATGAATAAATGCCAAGTTAATTTTGGAATATTTAACAACAATACATGTTTAGGACTCTCTGATGAATAGTAATAAACGATTAAGATTAGTAGTAGAAAATGAGAAAATATTCAATAAAGAAAAAATTAAGAGTTAATCTCAACCGTCTATTTTCACTCATCGAATGATCATAAATCTATGTAAAACTAAAAGAAGTTTTATATTGTGTAAGTGGATCCAAGGACGGGGCTATGTTGGGCCCCCCGATCCCTGTAAAAAGTTTATATATCCGATAAATTTTGGTCTAATAGTATTTTGTTCATGTAAAAATAAGTATTTAATTAAAGAAATACAAGATTTATTAAATATTTAATCAAGTAGGGGCCAAACTAAAGAAGGATAATCTCATGTTCTAAAATTTTTGGTCCAGTAACAATTTAGTTCATTGTAAGTTTAAATATTAAACAAATTAGGCATTTTCTTCTTAATTTTGAGTTTAAATACATAATAATTCATTGTATTTTTCTTAAAAAGTTCAATATTTCAGCCTCTACTAATATTTAATCTTGGCTTCGTCACTGAGTGGATCCTAACCTTATATATATTGATTGTAAAATTATAGTTGTTATGATTATTAGTGATTAATCCTTCTGAGTTGGACGAAAAATTGTAACCGGTAGTTCTGCGACTGTAAAAAGGGAGTGAATGAATTTAAGAATATGATAAACAATGGTATTAGAATGAGAGGTTTTCAGAGAAAAGAGAGAGGTCACATGTTTAAGTTTGCATGAGATTTATATACAAGCCTTTAATGCTGGTGTCAAGCCTAAGGTGTCGGATCTTGACAACACAATCTGAGGGCTATTTTTAAAATTTATTTTTATTTTTAATTAAATCATTAAACACATGGGTAGGAAACACAGAGTTCATAAAATATAAACTGTTTTACTTAACTAGCTAGAAAAATATTAATTACATACTAAAATTGAGTTGTCATATATCAAAGTTTCTAAGGTGAAAACTAACAAGTGCTAGATGCAGTGATAAGATACATTATATTAAAAAGAATGAATCTTGATTCAAACGTTAGATATGATATTATTGAAAGGGTTACCCCATAATGGAGCAGGTGTTCGTACATTATCCCTTTCAATAATGTCATATTTAACGTTTTATTCAAACGTTTAAATATCGTACTAAATTCCTTAAGCTATACCAGGTGTTTGTACCTTCGCGATTACATATTGAGTAAATTGTGTTGGGAGGGTTACTCTCATAATGGACATTTGCAAAACCCGAACTGGATTAGTAAATCAATAGAATAGATACCAATTGTTAATTTCAAAAAAATTAATTTTTATAAATTATAAAATGATTATAAACTTAAAATATACACCAATTACACTAAACAAAAGTTAGGAAGAAAAGACTTTCCAAATATTTCGCAATCATAGAGAGTGCAAAATTATGTATTTAGTTTTCGATGATCGTTATAAATTCTTATCGCATTTTTAGATACTTTTTATTTTTTTAATAAAACTAACTGTTTTTATTAAATGAAAAAACAAATTAGAAAGATTTGAGTGGTCGATATTGAAGAAGCAAGCAAGCAACAAGTTGAAAGAAAAAATGATAGATCCCAACCAAACCCTAAACCACGACGCATGAAATGGTATGCCTTTTTGGCACATAATTTTCCTTGTGCTCACCTTCATGGTCGCACCAGCACTTAATACGTGCGTAAAATTTTATATTTAGGAACAAATTTTTATAATTTTAAAAAGTGTGAACTTATAAAATTTTAAGGGATGAAACAGATTATCAATAAAAAAATATAAAATACATGATAATTTTAAATTTACAAATGTGTTAGTTTTTAAAATCAAAATAATAAGTTCTATATCGTTTTATGACGGATGGGGACCTAAATTCAACGAAAGCCGAAATACCGTTCTCTTTTCATGCGACCAAGATCTCCCAGTCATATTGTCCACGCTCTTGGGGTTTTCCTTTTTTTTAGGGTTTTGAATATAACTTTTTCTTATTAATATGGAATAAATACAAAATAGTATCTGTCTAAAATAACATTCAATTATTTGACATTGAATATGACTTAAATTGTCATCCTCGTCAAAAAAAATCCTCGCAATTGTTTGTTGGACCACCATTGATTCAATGTTTCTCCACTTGTTTCCTTTGAGAATTTTATTCCTTTTACTTTCGAAAACCCTACTAATCAGCAAACTCTCAAGTGTTCCTGTTCCTTGCAATTAATATCCAACGTTATATTTTGAACCATTACTTTTTTCTAACATCAACCCTAATTTTTTTGAACAAATTTTATTTGCGGGGAGGAGAATGAAAATTTTACTCGTAATAGGTATTAAATTCATAATTTATAAGAGAGATGAGGTGTTAAACGAAAACTTTTAACTACTTGCTCTATAAGCAGCCCTAACTTTTTTTTTTTTAATATGATGATTCCAACTCTTATAATTTTATCTATAATTCACGAGTAGCACAAAAAACATTAAATTTCACATTGATTAAAATATTTTAAAAGAATCAAATATTTAAAATATCTAAAATTATTTTATTTATATTTTAGAAGATAATATCTACTTAGATTTTCTCAACTGGTTTTTGTTATTTTTAGCCAACAATACTCATATAAATATCAAGCTTCCTTTTCATTCCAAGTACACAAAAAATTGAGAACATCTCATCTCTCACTTGTTCTCTCTATTCTTCTTCAGTTTGTTGATAATTCATGTCGATAACTATTGTTATTCTCAAGTTCCGTTTTTATAACATACTACCTTATTGAATCGTAGAGAATATGTTATACAATGAAATATCATTAACGAACAATATCTAATGCACGTCTCACGCTAGTCCGATTTTCGACCTTGTCTCACTACAACCCAATATTTTTTTTCTACATATTTTATTTTCAGAAAATAAAATAACATTGATTTTAATAAAATGACAGAAAGTTGGATGATTATCTAATTAAATTGCATTACTTTCTGCTACTTTATCGTAAAATACATGCAAAAATTACTATTATTGTCTTATCGTCACTATGAATAGTTTTAGATTCCTGGTGTTCAATGACCAGAATTTGATCCCTTAACATCCTCCTATATAAAAAAAATATGCATAATACTAAAAATTGCCCCAATGTCTATTAAAATTGTCATTTTGGTCCATATTCTTTTTTTGGAGTATTTTAGCCCTCAAAGTTTCACTTTGGGACAAAAAACTTCCTCTATAGATGAAAACCATTAGTTGACACTGTCGATACTCGTTTTCATCCCATATTATTATTATTATAGCGCAGCTCACTTATAATCATTGGATTTGATCTAGATCCAATGGTCCATAATGGAAGAATGTTAGGGTTTCACCCTAACCCATCTCAGCCGCACGATCTAAACCTATCCAATAGCCCATATCACACCAAGGGTTATCTCAGCTGCCGCCCGTCTCCACCAGTCGTCTGCAACTGTCGCTGCCATCAATCAAGCCCCCTGCATTATCAGAAATCCCAAATCAACACTCCAACTCAAATCAAACAAACACACACAAACATCACATTTTGTAATGATTTCATATCAAGAGAGGAGAAAATCTGTAAAAAAAAATTGGTTATAAAAACCCCAAACCTATGTTGTAAACTCTCTCGATTTTTTTGGAGGGGAAGAAATCAATAAAATCAAAAAAAAAAAGTTCAAGGTATATTTTGTTTTTTTTACAGTTTTTGAAACAAAGAAAAGATAAAAATAAAAAAACAAGTGATTACATAATAAAAAAACAACGAGATCGAGTAGTTTACTTGAGGAGGAGTAGCCAGATCTGCGACTAGAAGCGTAGATCAGAGCTTTTGGGATGCTTTAGGTTCAGTTTTAGTCGATTTTTGAGGTCGCCAGAGAGTGGGTAGCCAAGAGGTCATATTGGGTTTTCAGGTAGTTTAGGGTTCTTTTTAGGTAGTTTTAGCTTAGGACAGTGGCCGGTGAGGGACTAGCCAAAGGAAGAAGAAAGAGGAGAGGGAAATCACGTTTAGGTCCTCCGAGTTTAGCCGCATTTTTGCAAAATTGCCATATATAGGGATCGATTTTGTTATTTACTCGTTTCTTATTCATGTTATAAATTTTTGGTTTAATTACTATTTAGTCCCCTAACTTTAGAGTGTTTTTGCATGTTAGTCACATGTAAAGTCTGTTTTTGTAATTCGCCCACTTTTATGTATGTTATATATTTTTAGGGTTATTTACGTTTTAATTCCCGTATGTTTAGTGTGTTTTTACATTTTAGTCATGTGTAGTTATAATTTAATTTTTTAATACTTATGGACTAATTTAGTAATTTCCCCTTTTTTATTTCGAATGTATATTTTAGGCTAGGAAACAAGGAATATTTAGGAAATTACCCCTATAGTTTCTACAATTTTGTATTTCGAACCAGAATCTATCTTTTTATTTATTTTAATTTGGCCATACAATTATAGTTTATTTTTAATTT